AGACGGAGAGAACTGTCAAAATTCTTCGACATTGAGCAGGGGGTCCCACAAGGTTGAACGTTGTCCAACATTGTTCCAGGTGTTCATCAACGATCTGCTGGAACAGTCGTAGAGGCAGTCCGGAAGGGAGTAAAAGTAGGGGACACGGAAACGTCGGTTTCAGGAATGCTGTTTGCGGATGATTTTGTCGGTATGTCGGACACCCCTGAGGGACTGCAACTGCAAATTGACGCGGCGAAGAAGTTTACTGATAAGTGGAGATTGTCTGCCAACGTTCAGAAGAGTGCCGTCATGGTATGCAACGAGAACAGGAAGGAACCAGCTGAACATAGATGGAAGTGGGGGGTCGAGAAGATTGCAGTAGTGGACCAGTACACATACCTCGGAGTAGAGATCGCAAAAGACTGCTCGTGGAATGCACACATGTCCAAGGTAGCGGAAAAGGGCAAAGCACGAGCAGGGAAGCTGCACCCAATACTCGCAAACCGGCACCTCGATACACGCATCAAATTGACGGTTTTGAAGAGCGTAATCGTACCGCCGCTAGAGTACGCCGGAGAAGTATGGGAAGGAAATAAGAAGGTAGTGAAAGAACTCGAGGCGGCGCAGATGAAAGCAGCGAAAATCATCCTAGGATGCTCCAGGCGCACAAGTAATGCAGCCGTGAGGGCAGAATTGGGGATCCAATCCCTACGGTCGGGAAGAGACGCGAGGAAGCTGACCTGGCAGTATCGCATGTGCGGGATGGGAGAGGAGAGGTTGCCGAGAATTGTATGGAAAGCGAAAGTGGGCAAGCAAACAGAGGCGTAGACAACCCACGGAATGGTCAAGGTTGTAGAGGACGTATGGAAGGGGCTCGACATCGACGAAGATGAAACGCTGGAAACGGAGGGTCTACAGGGGTTCAAGGAGAAGATATCTGTTGCTTGTGCCGAGAGAGAAGAACAGAATTTAAGGAAAGAATCCAATGATAAGGAGGGTCTAGAAGTGTACGGAATGTTAAAGAAAGGAATAGGGTTCAAGGACTACCTACATGGACCAATGGATGCAGGAACAAAGCTTAAGGTCAAATTCAGGACCGGGGACATAGGCCTTCGAGAACGTCGACGAAGACATAGGACGGTAGACGAGGAAGACGACGAGTTCAAATGTGATTGCGGCTTCGAATGCGAAGACCGTGTTCATGTAGTCGCGGAATGTCCGTTGTACAAGAACGAGAGGGAAGTGTACGTGACTGAGCTGGGAAAAATAGATGGGACGTACAGGGAGATGTTTGGGGCATGGAATAGAGAGGAAAGGACGGTAGCTGTAGTGGGGCATAGGAGGTGGGTTGAAAAGGCGGGAAGGGATATCGTTAGGATAGACAGACTAGGGAAGACATTTTTGAGTCACCTTTGGCAAAGTAGAAAGGAACGATTGGCCATCGGTGATCGGTCCTGTGGGAACAATGCTCCGTCCTCTCGAGGACGCATGGTCAATGGTCTAACCGCTAAGGCATGCAAAACCGGTCTTATCGACAGAATAGAAATGGAAAATCGATATCGAATTTCAGTTTTTGTCCTAAAGAGCCACCCGAACTTGTAAAATTTCGACGGTGGTGTCTTTTCGAAAAACTGCCAAAATCAAAGCTGAATTTGAGAAAAGACGCGCGAAGAACCCACGACAAGCAGCGAACAGCCCACCAGTCGGAGCAAGTAGTAGTGGCTGCGTGCGCCGTGCGCCGCACCGCCGCACAACCAAAAACATGGCTCGCGCTCCTGCCAGCCGACGCTCATGGCTGCGAGGAAAGACGAAGAAGCGCATGAAACAGCTCCTGGAGCTGTTGACGATCATGGTTCTCATGGATGATGGCGATGCCCCGCAAATCCGCGACAATTTCGTGCGCCGCGAGCGCCGTTGCTGGTACACATACGCGAATCCGATGGTGGATGATGGCACGTTCCGCCGACGCTTTCGCATGGACTACACGGGATTCGCGCTTCTCACGGACATGTTGCGGTCTAGGCTTGAGAGGGATGAAAAGATGGGTGCTCTACGCAACGGGTGATTCGGTAGAGTGTCAGCTAGCGATGACACTTCGGTTCCTCGCAGGTGGGAGCATTTTCGAGGTTATGGATGGCTGCGTCTTCGCCAAAAGCACAGCGTATGCGATAGTGTACCGAGTCATCGACGCCATCAACCAGACGCGAGAGTTCGATTGTGTGTGGCCTGAAGGGGACGACGCGTTGGATCAGTGTGGCGTGTACCGGCAGCGGAGTACCAACAACGTGATCCATATGTGCGTAGGAGCGATGGACGGGCTGTTCGTGCTCATTTTTGAACCGTCGCTGAGGCGGCACGTCAACCCTCGCGGCTTCTACAGCGGGCACAAGAAAGGCTTCGGCATGAACTTCCAGGTGTGTTTCACAGGTTAGGGGAGGATGGGGGGCGGAGGGGTAGAAACTTAGTTGCTAGCAAAATAGTCGGGCGGCGCAAGACCACCTGGCTGCTGTAACAAAACAGATCACTACCACTGTTTGTAGTAGCCGCAGCACCAGCAGCGGCAAGGGCAAGTACCAGGGTGAAATGAGAACGGAAAATGTGCACGGGGCTAAAAAATACACACAACACTCCACATAACGGCTGACTCGAGGGACAGCTTACGTTCGCTCCCACCAATTGCACGCAGCAGCACAAAAAAATGTGTACCTTTGTTTGCCGGCCTCTGTCTCGACAAGCACATCGGAATATTCACAAAAAGTGCCCACGCAGTCTGACCATTGGTAAATTACGCAATGGTCGCTCCTTTTCCACTGTACGAAACCCTTCGTGTTACAGGCAGTATGCAATGCGCGATACAAAATAACCGCGTGGACGATGAACTGCCCTGGAAGCTGTAACGACCGCACAGCATTCAAGCACTCTGGTTTCGAGAGGGTCCTGAAGACCCTGCCCAAAGGCGCCTACATAGTCGGCGACGGTGCGTATCCGGCGTCTGACCAAGTCCTCGTGCCGTACCCAGGGACTACCCTCACACCAAGCCAAGACTCGTACAACTTCTACCAGTCGCAGGCCAGAATTTTCATCGAGCAGGCGTTCGGCAACATGGTGAGACGTTATACTTATATGTACACGGCACATCAGGGCCATCCTTCCTACCCGACTGTTAGCTGTTGACACGCGCCGGATGGAAATGCGACTTGGCGGTTGAGATCAATCTTCTGTGCGGTCTATCCTTGTGACAGGCACGCACTGAAGCCCGCGGCATTCCGAATGCCGCGTTCCGCTGTCCGGTTCCTCCCATTACATTTTTCTTTTTCTTTTTTTCGGTGGCTCATCGCCTCCTGTGTTTCCTCTGTTCCCGCTTTCATGCCCCTATGTCATCAGGTTAAGACATGGGGGATACTGTGGCGACCGCTGCAGGTGAAACTCGGACGGGTCTCGTCGGTCATGAACGCCGTGGTCCGCCTGCACAACTTCCTGCGGCGGTGGAGAGCGAAGGTCCCACAGAGCCCCTGGAGGGTCGACCAACCCCAGGAGGTACGATTCGCCCCGGACGGGAGCCTAGAGGGCACCTACTACGACACCGTCCCTACGCGTGGAAGACCGACGACGGGCCAGAGGGTTAGCGCCCCTCGCGAGGCCATTCGCCAGTACCTGAAGCAGTACTCGATCGGCCGCCCGAGGTGGAACCTCCAGCGCAACTCTACGTAGGGTTAGGCAATGCGTTCATGGAGCTAGAAAAAATCATATATGTCGAGCCAACGATAGGATTGGTGTTGGCGGGGATGGCCGTGAGCAGAGGGGTTTGGTGTACAGGGGCTGTCGTAGGTAAAGCACGCCTCTAGTGTATGTCGTGGGCGGGGGTAGCAGTCTCCTGTTACCCAACTTCGGCAGGATTGGTATGTGGTACATACGTACACGAAGACCCGAGCGATCATTTCCTTAAGGAGCGTTTCGTCCCCCAAAATAAGGGGACGTGGGTAGGAATAATGCATGTGTTCCATTGGTCGTTACATGAACGCTGATGTCCGGCATATCGGTGAAAAAAAAAAAAGGAACGAGCAACAATGGCTCTTCGCCAGGAACTGCTTCAACAGCACTTCAGTAGTACAGTTTCCGCCTCGACGGGGACAGCCAGGGGTGGAAGGATAACCCTACGTCGACACCTACACCGAATAAAAAAGCGGCAAACCGGCAGTGAACACCCCCAGCTCTTGTCGATTGTAGCCCCCAACTCTGGTGTCGAGCCAGGAAGGGAGGGCGTGCTTCCGAGAACAACAACGCAACACGATCTGAGAGCCAGGTGTCTAGAAAAAATCAAACGCGCTGCGTCCGGGAGAGGGCGTCATTATCTCTCCCCCCCCCAAAAAAAAAAACACGGAGTTTTCCAAGATACCAACACATCCGGCGGAGCGTGTAGGAAAAGACAACTTCACAAATGGCGAGGCATGAAACCCGTCGCCCATGCCAACCGCCCACTACCGAAAAACAGGCAAAAAGGACGCAGGAGAAACTTGGCCTACGAAGTACACCCAAGCTAAGCGCACACGTGCAACTCTACAACTACACTTACAACATGACGCTTAGGGCTCGGCGTCCAACACACCCAAAGGTGCCGGCAAGATGTCATGGGGGGAGAAGAGGGGGAAAGCGACAAGGAATCGTGGACATGTGGCGGGATGTCTACCGCCCATTCGTACAACACCTCGAGCAAGTCTTGCCCTAACCCTGCCCTGCCCTTCTTACATTCTACGTATCGAAATAGGAGCAACACATAAAAAACAAAAACAAAGCGAGAGTGTCGGGAGTAGATAATGCGCCTCGCACCCCAACAGCAAAAAAAAGCAAACAAACGGGCAGCGGTGACGGGGTTTCATCAACATTGCGCGTGCACAACGCACCTCCAGCAACACCAGCAACAGAGCATTGGGTACAGCCAACGGCGACGAAAAAGGAAAAACCAACAGAAAAACGAAACGACACAACGCTACCCGAGCGACCTCGCGCGGACACTTGGCGCCAACAATCCCATCGGCAATGTACGCACGCATGTCTAAGATTCAGCACGCTTTTCTACGTTTCTCATGCCCAGTTCGCACGAAGGAAAAGGAAAAAAGAAAAGAAAAGTGAACGAAGTAGGGAGGGGGTCTACCAAGAAAAACCCCTCGCGGACCTCCGACAAGTGCAAGAACCTGTTCAGGATGATGCATGTTTTTCCATTAGATCAGTCATTTCTTGTTGCACATGTCTAGCGCAAGAAGAAGACAAGCTTCGACTTGAGGGTCACAGACAGCAGAAAGATCGTCGACAGCTTTCTGTGCGTCCAGCACGTCTTGGGACGCCTGTATGAGCTAAGTGGCTGGACCTACACCAGAATCCGACTCCTTGCGACGCTCCTCTGTCTCAACCTTGCTCTGCGCCGTCCAGGTATCAACTAACGTCTTCAGTAAATCGTGTTTTTCCTCCTCTCGTTTCTCACGGTTGGCCTGTAACGCTATCTTTTCTTTGCGCTGGCGTCCACGTTCGTCGTCGGCGCCCCCTAGCCCCCCCTCTCGCATCCCTCGGTGGCCAGGCCCACCGGGGATGCTCGATCCCATCCCCGGCCCACCGTCTGGGATGACCACATCCCCGAAATGCGACTTCCCCACCGCCCTTGAGGTACAGTACATCGTGGTAGAGGAGTATAGAGACGGCGTTGCCATGGTCATCCTTGTAAACCAGGTTAACCATGTCTCTCGCGATGGTCTGGTAAAAGTTCTGCTCCGGGTTGTTCTTCTTGTCGTCCAACGACAGACGACCATTCCGCGTAAAGCAGTTTTCCAAACCTTCGAAGGTCGAGTCGTTGGCCAAGTGGCAGCAGAGCAGAACGAGGAAGCTCTCCGTGCGCTCCGGTTCGTTCCTGGACTTCCCCGCCTTCCCCTTCGTCACGGCCTTTTCTGGTGTGAAGCCATGAGGAATTTTCTTCACGGGTGACGTCTGGCCGTGATCGATCCTCCACTTGATGCCCTTGTCGACGGCGTCAGCGAGCTGGTCCTTTTTGAGGGACTTGTAGCCGCTGATGGGTTGACTTGTAGCCGCTGATGGGTTCGCCCTCGCCAGTGAACAGAAGCTTCCGCTTCCCATGTATCACCGCCAAGACGTCGGCCGCGTGGATGAGGTTAGGCTTCGACCACTTCCACACGTTCCTCGCCTGCGGCGGCGAGGTTGCCTGTCCACCGAAAGTGCATCGACGGCAAATGTGACGGTTATCTGTCAAGTACAAGCCGGGGAGCTCTTTTCGTGCTGTACTTTGGTCTGCAGTGAACATATCAAGTAATCATCCAGGCCAAGGGACGGTTGTCCTTGTGCAGGGGGGAAAACACGCATAAAATGACATATGTAGTGAGCCATGGCAAACGCTAATGGCACCAACCAAATCGTGAGGAAACAGACGGAGGGGCCACTCAGGGCGCAAACACGGATGAGGTCGCGGGGTTGATTTCGTCGTTCGTAGTGACGTGGTTCTCCGGGACAAAAGTGTTTAAGGCGGGACCCCATCGCAAATCATCCCAAGGGTGATCTTATCGTTTTACCACAAAAGCACAATCGAACGAGGGGAAACACAGAAGTGTTTCGGACATGCAGTAAGCAAAGGGAGCCGGGAGGAGCGGGGGGGGGCAAGCGCACCCAACCAGAACCAACTCAAAAGCCAGGGGGTGCTTCGAAATACCGTGTGCCGATTGCATACAAACTACAGTTCCTACGGCATGGGTATGGGGATCGCATGCGCCGAGTCAGGGATCGTTCTTGTGCGTTAAGGTACAGGAACAACTTACCAAAACAAAGCCCCTCCCTACCCTAGCGTGAACCCCTGCCTGCGGGCGACACCATGCTAGACCACCCCGGGAAAATCCCACAGGCGCCCCCCCCCCGAACGCATGCCATACGACCGCTTTTACGCCGAAAATTACACGTGTCTGTCGGGGGTGTTTCGGCACCCAAACTATCGCAACACCCCGGGCGTATGGCCAGACGAAGCTACCCACCTGGGGATCATGGCCGCTTTCTTCTTGTACCTTCTCCTCCTCCTCCTCCTCGAGTGAAAGACGAGCGCACGGACGCGCATCCTGTACACGAACACTATGAATGACCCAGCGCACAACGATAAGACACAGCCCCCCCCCCTCCCCCCATGCCCAGCTCCCCTCCCCAACCCCCCCCCAAAGAACAGTAGCTTGACGTTGGAAGTTCGTCGCTATCGACGGCTCGGCGTCTGTGTCGTCCGCTTGCGCAGCTGCCTCAGGGAAGGGTTCGTATGTACATTGAACACCCACGCCCACGCACAACATGTGCATGAGGCACGTCACAACGACCACGTAGTACAAACCTCATGCAGGCAGCACTTCACTTGGCACTACGTATGCCGCACACGAGTGCGCATCGGGCGTGTGCTACCAACGTGTAACCCCGTGAGGAAAGAAGCCATGATCGTCGAAAACGGGGAAACATGCATAGACTTGCTCCTCGCCTCACTGTCGGAGTCTGCGCCGCTGTGATCCCCGACAAGCCTGCTGGGGTCGTTGTGGGTGCCCTTCAGCGATTCTGCCGTGTTCGCCGGGTTTGACATCTATCTTGTCTTTCCTCTTCGACTTCGGCACGCGCTTCAAGGCGAATCCTCTGGGGCAATGGCGGGGAAAGCACATAACGGCAGCGGGAAAAACGGAAGGGGGAAGAGGTTTTTTCAAACCCAATACAACGACATGCGTTCCGCACAAGTCCAAAGCCCAGAAGGCGGCGTTGACAACAAATTCGGTTTCCTTGGGCACGCCATCTTTTGGCGTGTGTTTCTTCACCGAACCCCACATTAAATAGCCCGACATGTTTCCCGTACGAAGCGGTAGTGTGATATGGTCTGAGAGTCACAGCGATGAGAACGGGTACCCACCGCCCTCGCTAGATCTTACAAACTGCTAGTGTAGCACAGATAAACAGGTGGTGTGCAAAAGGCACATGAAAGAAAATTAGGGAGACAATACCGCACACACACGCACCTCGGCCTCCGCATCTATCTCCGCGTTCGCGGCATTCATGGCAGCCGTGGAGAGCGTCGTCCCCGCCCCCTCCTGTGGGGCAAACAACAGGGTGGAAGGATGGGTCAAGGATATTGATTTCCTACAGTATTCCAATTAGATACATGATGAGCGCCATGTCCATTTATTTGGGGCCTGTACTTTGTGAGCAGGCGGCCCACAGCCTGTGAACATTTCGAGAGGCCTTTCGCATCCGCCTGCGTAGACGCACGGGGTGGGACCCATTGGCGTGCTCTGTGCTCCTCGACCTGTTGCGCCTCGGCATACGGGCGCGTTCGTGTCGTTCCTACAGCTCTATTTCTGGCGCAGGGTCGGAAATTCCCAGTCCACCCCCCCCGCACGCAGAATCGAACCCACTTTGTTGCCTGCTTTTGGTTTGGACGTTACCATTATCCACCGGGCAAGACGTACGTGACCGCACCCTTCCGTCAAGGCTAACCCTTATGTGCACGCGACACACGCAGCTCCAACTGCTTTATTAGCGGATATTTATCAACAAGAGACACGCGCCGTGAAGTCAGCAACGTAGTGTACAGCAGAGGCGATGCTTCAACCGAAAGGCACTCTTGTATCAACCGCATGGAAAAAAAGGATGACCCATCTCAAAACGGGGAACTAGGAGAGACCGTGGCATGCAGACCCACGACCGTGGCACACAGACAGACCCCAAGACTCGCAACCGGACACACCAACCCATATCCTGATTCTGTTCTCAGGGTAGATGATGTGTGTGTGGGACATGCTTTCAAATTTCAACCTGGTAGTCTCTGTTGAACATGGGGACAACAAGACAATGAGAGTCCGCGCGCCAATCTTCAGAGGCTCATCACATCACGTCTCTCCCCACGTGAACGAGCGCACAGCGAGAAGCACACAAACGTCAGAAGCACCCGGGTAAGAAAGCAACCCTCACCTAGTCCGTCATTAGTCGGTCTCGCGAGCCCTGACTCAATCCTTGTTTTATCCGGTGAGCTGCTTCCCTCCGTTGAAACTCCTTCCGGTGGTCGTCCTCCGTAACGTCGCTCGAGAGGGCCGCGTCCTGCTGCCCCCCCCTGGATGCACCCGTCTCGTGCGGATGGTGATGAGCGAAGAGGCGGGGCGGGCGTGCGCGCCAGCTGGTGGCTTTCGGGGAAGGCGGGCAGAGCGGAAGGATTTCCTGGATGCCCTTGCGCCATGGCGCTAAGATACGGGCGCTGGGGAGAGGGACCGTCGCTGAACGCTAAGGGACCTAACCCAATGCGGGGCGTGCGGTACGCTTGACCGGCCGTCAGGTACTGCGCCGGTGGAGGTGCCGCTGCTTGCCGCACACCACGGTGGGCCATCGGCACCGCATTATACCACATGTTGTCCGACTGCGTTGGGGTTTGCCCTAGAGTGTTGGGCCCCAAGTTCATCCACCCGACACCGTTCGCCTTATTATCCTGTGACATCGTGTCTTGGGCTCGAGCGGATGAATGATAGGGGCCGTAGCCAAAGGACTGCACAGGCTCATGGGCGTGTGTGAGAGCGTGAGAAGTCGCACTACTTTCTACGAACCCAACGATCCTGCGACGTGCGCACGACCCTGTTGCTGTTCGCAAAAGTGATGTTGCTGTTCGACAAAGTCGACATTGAATTGAGTGTTTTTTCATTTTTTTGGTATTGAGTTTCAGCATAGGAAGATTCGATGGGGTCTCCGTCCAAATGTTATGTTTCGGCACCCTCCATCCAATCACAGCAGATGTTCTTTGGCTCTTAAAGACTTAAACTGAATTTCGATTTCGATTTTCGATTTCGATTTTCGATTTCGATTCTGTCGGTAAGACCGGGTCTAACTGTAGTCTACCGTACGTGTGTGTCGTCTGGACGAAAGGGTCTATTCGATGAATTGTCGATCATGTAAAAAAATGATGTTCCCGACGTACGATGATAAAATGAAATGCGTGGACCGAGCGAGAGATGGCCGGAGATAGGTGGGTTTATTTTAGAAAAAATACACACTCCTCTCTTTCCCCTCGCTGCCTCGGCAAGGTTTTGCTTAGGCATGACCTATAGCGAGGGGGTGTACTCATACTCATTGTCGTGCATGCCGTAGTCGTTAGACCATTGACCTCGCATCCCTATAAAGCCGGGACGGAGCACGCCGGGTTCTCACCGGACCAGGCTCTCACATCACCAAGCGCGAAGCGCCGTGAGATATTCGGCGAGTCGCATGAAGGGTGCGCTGCATCCTGCTAAGGGTTTTCGGCATCTTGTGCTTACTTCCTTGCATACGGATGACAGCTGCGTATGACTTTATTTTCTTTCTCGTGCTTTTACTTCGAGAGACAGTTGTAAGCACCGTGTAACTGCCTCGAGGGTGCTTGGCCATTTCAACACAACGTGGTGCGATCATCCCCCTTGCGCGGAGTGAGGGTTCACCCCGCACAACATGATCTACTCAACCATCATTATGGTTACTGCCCAAAAAAAATAAACGGAGGAAAAAAAAAAGAACGGTAACCTGGTTGCCGAGTTCACGAAGTGAATTGGCTTGTTTGACAACGTCGTTGCCAAGCGACGAAAACCCAATCCCGATAGGCAAACACCGGAGGGGGGGGGGTGTACTCATAGTCGTGCATGCCGTAGTCGTTAGACCATTGACCTCGCATCCCTACAAAGCCGGGACGGAGCACGCCGGGTTCTCACCGGACCAGGCTCTCACATCACCAAGCGCGAAGCGCCGTGAGATATTCGGCGAGTCGCATGAAGGGTGCGCTGCATCCTGCTAAGGGTTTTCGGCATCTTGTGCTTACTTCCTTGCGTACGGATGACAGCTGCGTATGACTTAATTTACTTTCTGGTGCTTTCACTTCCAGAGACAGTTGTAAGCACTGTGTAACTGCCTCGAGGGTGCTTGACCATTTTAACACAACGTGGTGCGATCATCCCCCTTGCGCGGAGTGAGGGTTCTCCACCCCGCACAACATGATCTACTCGACCACCATTATGGTTACCGCCAAAAAAAGAACAGACGTAAAAAAAAAACGGTAACCTGGTTGCCGAGTTCACGATTTGACTTGGATTGTTTACAACGTCGTTGCCAAGCGACGAAACCCAACCCCGATGGCAAACACTTGGGGGGCGGCGGCTTGTTTACAACGTCGTTGCCAAG